TAACAGCTTGAAAGAAACTAAGGATAGATTATCTGAACTGGAGGACAGGTTTATAATGTGGAAACATGAAAGAAAAAACTTCTTTAAAATAACAAGGAAACAAGAAGTAACAATACAAAGGCCAGAAGATGACAAGAGGATCTATAACTTAAGAATAAAGAATGTGAATGAAGAAGCAGGGGTACAAACAAAGGAACTACAAAGGCTATTCACAGAAATAATTAAGGAAAACTTCCCAAACATAGGAAAAGGAAAAGATGCTCAGATGTATGAGGCATACAGAACTCCAGCCACCTACAATCAAAACAGAAGTACACCCAGGCATATAATAATCAAGATTCCAGAAATCCAACATAAGAACAGAATATTAAAAGCTGTTAGAGACAAGAAACAGATCCCTTACAAGGGAAAACTCATCAGAATTACAGCAGACTTCTCAGCACAAACCATCAAATCTAGAAGAGCATAGGGAGAAATAATCTAAGCCTTGAAAGACAATAACCTCCAACCAAGATTGATATATCCTGCACAATTGTCCCTAGAAATTAATAGAGAAATAAGGTGCTTCCAAGATAAAGAGGAACAGGGGGAATTTGCAACCACCAATCCAACTCTACAGAGAATACTACAGGACATTCTAAAGAGAGAAAAAAGTACCAGTATTTCAGAAACAGTGGCAGAGAGGCCACAATGAAAGGAACAGAAAGCGAAATGAAGAAGACAGACAACTAATGACAGAAAAAGAGCACAACAGAAATAAGGCAAAGAAGGTTGGATATAATTTCTAATATCGATGGCCTACATACACTAACTTAGGGGAAAAAAGAGAGAATCATAAGCAGAGTGGATCAAGAGGTAGGGTCCACCAAGAGGCTCTTTATAGGAAATATAATTAGCCTTAAGAAGGTTATATGGACCAAAATCAAATATGAGAAAATAGAACTCAATATGATAGGGAACCAGAGAGTAATAGGGGTAAATGGGCCAGTATTTATGGATAGGTTGAACAGACAGGCTTTAATAAATGAAGAAATATAACTAGAAATCCAGCCCAGGAGTGAGAAAGTTCAGAAACACTTAGGTATATAGCAGTTGCCCCAACATAAAACTGTGAATATTGGAGAGACCCAAAAATACACAGTTCATTCTGAGGGAGTAAAGGGGAGGAATATTCTTCAAAAAAAAAAAACAGCAGGAGATATAGCTAATAGTGTAAAACCCTTATTACTCACACCACTCTGCTTGTTTGGAACTTGTTCCATCCTAGCTTGTATACCATCTGAAGACATAGACAGCTGTCCTGAAGATATCAGGACATAGCACAATGGTCATCTTTAATTTCCTATTAACTCAATCAGGATCCTTGTATGACTTACACTGATCTTAGTTAAATCTGACTTGTTTGATTGCTGCTTATTATTGACAAATTTTATTCAAAAGTGTTAGGTTGCTGATATCAAGTTGAGGAATATAGACAACTATACTGAAAATGACAATGATTCACCATGATGTCCATTCTGCTTTGATTACTACTGTTTTTGTAGCTCTACACTATCTACAAAGTTGTATTTCTATTAATTCTGTTATGTACTGATATGTTCAATTATCCTTTATCTGATGATATAGCCAATTCTGTTGATGATAACAAGAAACAGCACAGTGATCTTGGTAGAACTCCTTATAAAGAAGTTTTACATGTCTTTTTACTATTATGTGTCTATAGGAATATGATTAGTTTTGTCCTGCTTTGTTCTATTTCTCCCTCTAATATAGAAAGGATAGAAATACATGTTAAGACTCATGCTTGCATAAAACCTATAAACAGTTTATGAGAACTGATCTTATGACACATGATGAAATGAACTAATATTTTGAAGGAAAGAAAGGGGCACAGTAGTACCCAGTGCTGATTCTAGAGTGTTATGATGTGAAATCCAGAAATATTATTAATTTTTGTTCAGAAGGATTTTAATCTACTAGGTTTTGTTAGGTCTCAACATAAATGAAGATATGGATAAATGCGTCCATATCTAAGTGTATAGGATTGATAGCCATATTACTTAGTTTTTGTTGGATAGTTGAACAGAACTGTTTCCCTGGTTGAATTCCCATTTATATGTTCCACTTTTGTATCTTGAACAACTATTTGTGGGGGGACAATATGTATACATCAACTAATGATTTACTACTGTTTATTTCTTTTCTTTGAAAATATGTACTATTTCTGCCATTTCCTATATTGTTTTGTTTTTCTTTAAATAACAAAAATAAATAAATAAATAAATAAATAAATATGAAAAGTAAGGGAAAAAATAAGCTTTTAAGGAAACCATGTCATCATAGCCTTGAACAATACAAAAAACACTAAAGCAGAAAAAAAACATAGGATATATAAAAATTGAGGATTTCTATTCATAAAAAAAGCACCACTAAGAATGAAAATCAACCCACAGACTGAATGTTCACAATGCATATAATTAACCTAACACTCATTCAGATTGAAGAACTTCTACAAGTTAGTGAATAAAAGACAGACAATCCAATAGGCAAAATAGGCAGCAGACTTAAACAGACATTTTGCAAAAGGCCTCCACAGGACCTGTAAGCATATGACAAGGTTCCCAGAATGATTAGTCATGAAGGAAAAGCAAGTTAAAACCACAATGAACAAACTTCACAAAAAACTAATTGATGAACTGATCTAACACTGACAAAAAAATTAAAAAGAGATAATAAAATACCATTGGAGCACTGAAAATACAGAGCAGTAGAAGCTCTGTGGGGAGGAAACCATCACAGGAAACTGTCTACCAGTATCCAAGAACATTGGGCAAACATATTACCTGTGACCTAGAAATTCTAATACTGGATATATACCTAGCTGCATACAGTGTGTGCAGAGTTCACCAAAAAGCACATAGCAGAATAAGGGTAAAGACATCTTCAATCATCGGCAAATATCCACCAGCAATACAGTGAATAAATAATGATATCTCGTGACACTGCAATACAAAAGTTAATAGGAATGAACAAGCTACAGATACCCTCAACAAACATAGGTGGCTACACAAACAAAAGAATCCAAGAAGCCAAACACCAAAGAGTACAGACAGTGATGCTATTCTTATAAAATGTAAGAACAGTTTTGATTGGTTCTGTCCTATTGTGTTTTATTTGATTTTATTATGTGTGATGGTATAAACAAAATTTTTAAGGGAAATGAAGTATTATTATAGCCACTGTTCATTTCCTGTTATTTGGTTTTGAAGTCCTATAATGCTTTCATTCTCTTGAATGGTTTTATACTATTTTGTTATGTTTGATATTACCACATGTGAAGGTTTGCTCAACTATGTTGAAGAAAGAGACATTATGGTAGCTACTGTTGATATACAATTGTCTTGTTGTGAAGTGCTGTGATGCTTGCATTGTTCTGTTCTGATTTGCTTTGTTCTGTTCCCTGTTGTTTTATTCTCTTTAAAATTAAAAATTAAATAAAATGTAAGACCATATGAAGCTGTGCTTTTAAAATCAAGCTGGTAGTTGCATTTGAAAAGTGACAAAGAATGTCTGAAGTGGAACACGAGGCACTGGTGACAATTTTGTCTGGATGCTGGTGTGTTGGTCAGCTTCACATTGCTGGGGAAAAATTACCAGGCACCCACAGCTTAAAGGAGAAAAGGTCTTATTCATGATTTCTGAGGTTTCAGTCCATGGTTGAAGGGCTCAAAGTCAGAAATATCTTTGTGGAAGAGATGGCAAAGGAAACTGCTCAACTCACATCCAAGAGCAGAGAGCAGGGAAAGAGCCTGAAAGAAGAGGCCAAGGAGGAGATATGCACAAGGTCACACACCATGACCCACCCAGATGTGCCCAAAGTGTGTTTTACTAACCTACAAGGGATCTGTCAACCGAGAGGAGTTTAAGCACCACAGCTAGCTACACAGAATGTGTTCACCTTGTGAAAAGTCTTCAAGCTGAATCCTTAGAATATGTGGTTTCCCATTGACTATATAAAAGTAAAAAAGTAAATGTAAAAAATAAAAAATCTATCATCTGCATATCTTAATGATATGATAAAGTCTAGAAGTATTAAAATATTTGCATAACCAGGGCATTCTGTAAACTTGTGATAATGTTTGCCTTTTGGAAAAATGAATTGAGAAAGCAAAGGTAAATTTGCATGGACTTAACATACACTTTTCAGCATTATTTAAAATGGTGTCATTTATACATATGACTTTCTTTTACATTTCCTTTTCTTTATTTTTTATTTTAAAGAGAATAAAACAAAACAGAACAGAACAAAGCAAATCAGAATAGAACAAGGCAAGCAACACAGTACTTCAAAACAAGACAACAGGACATCAACAGTGGCTACCATAATGTCCCTTGTTTTCTTCAAACTAAATTAACTCAAGCAATGCTAAAGTAAGGACCACCAAGGCCAATACACAAATAGAAAGAGGATCAATATCAGTTCAGAGAAATTCAAATTAAACTAGAATAAGACGTAACTATACACCACTAAAACAAAATGAAAAAGGCTAAAAGTAACAGCTGTGAAAAAGATACACTGGTGAAAGTATAAAACGTTTTGGAAAATGTTTCTTGTAAAGCTGAACATATACTTATCATGTGGTCCAATAAGGCATTTATCTTTAAAAACATATATACATATATGTCTTAAAGACTTATTCATAATAGTATCATTCATAATTACCAAAGCTTGCATGTCCACCAAAGAGTCCATGGGTAAACCAATTGTGTTATACAAAAGAGTTGTGCTGTACAATACAAACTACTCAGAGAGAAAAAAGAAAAAGATATAGATGCTACAAGAATGAATCTCAAAGTCATGCTACATGGAAAAAACAAACCCAAAATAAAATCTCAAAATCATACCACATGGGCAAAAAAGCTCAAAATACAGCAGAAACCTACTCTCAGATTGTCTAACAGACCGCACCACACACCATGACAGAAATCAGATCAGAGCAGCTCGCTTCGGCAGCACATACGCTCAAGTTAGAAAGATGCAGGGAGGACTAGCAAGGCTGCGCCGCAAGGATGACTTGCAAATTCAGGAAGCATTTCATGTTTTAAAAAAATGAAATCAGATCAGAGGTTCCTAAGGTTTGGGGTAGAATGTGCTCTTTATAAAGGAGCAAGAGAGCACTTTTTGAAGTGATCAACAGCTGTATCTTGATTCTGTGGTAATTATAGAAAGAAGAATATACAATTGTGCAATTCATTGTACACACATAGCACCTACAATGGGTACATTTCAGTGCATGTATACTATACCTCAATAAAACTGCTTTTTAAAAGCAATTGAATTGCTTTTAAAAAGAAATGCTGCCAAAATGATGTTCAGCATATAATGTGTGAAGAACTCACAAAAGCTGATTTTTACAAAACACATGAACAGAAGTCACAAAATAACCACAGAAATCAACAAGTATAAAAAATTATCCTGCCTCATCAATAACTCAAAAAATATAAAATTAAATGACCAAGTACTTTTGGTTTGTATTTGTTACAATTTAAATATAAAACTTCCCCCAGAGCCTCATGGGCTCAGAGTGTGACCTTTGGAAGGTGACTGGCTCTCAAGGAGCTGTGTTCATCAGTGAGTCACCCCACGGATGGACCCCGGCTTACTGTGCATTAGGAGGTGGGGCCTGGATGAAGGAGGCGGGGCCTGGATGAAGGAGGCGGGGCCTGGATGAAGGAGGCGGGCACAGGGTGGCCCTGGGAGGCTATGTTCTCACTCCAGACTCTTCCTTATGCTCCTGGCTGCCATGGGTGCCATCTTTCCTCCAATGTCACTTTACACTCTGCTCTTTCTGCCTTGCAGCCAGCCAGCCAGCCATGGACTGAACCTTATAAAACCATGAGTCCAAATCAATCTCTCCTCTTTAAATTGTGGTATTTTGCCCCAGTGATGGAAAGTGACTAATGTAGCACAAATAGGAATATAATTGATGTGATTATTGAAGACAATTTAGGAACACCCATCAAAAGTCCTTATCCAGTAATGTAATTTAGGAAGCTGAGAAAAAATGATCCAGAAAAATATGCCTAGAAAGCCACAGAAAGTATTTAAAACCTTCAGGCAGTTTGGACCTGTACCAATAACACAGGGCCCAAATGATGATATACCCATGGTTGTTTTGAAGAAGGATTTAAATGAGATGGAAAAGTATTAATTACAAATATTAAGCAAAAATGGCAGGAGTCATCTCAGTATATATAGTAAGACTCTCGGGACCTATTTTTCCTTAAGAGGATTCCTCAACCAAATTCACTGGATAAATTCCCTACACGCGGTGCACACTAACACAGTGAAGGCCTCAGCAGGTTGACTGACCCAGAGGAGAGGAAGCCAGCACATGCTGCCCCTGTTTGAACTTCAATAGCACACTGGAGTGGGTAGGATCACCTAGCCAGTGCACTTCAGAAGAACCCTAACCAACAAGGAAAGGGACTGGGACCTCCTCTATCCACCTGTATGAAAGAAACAAAAAATATGAGAAGAGGAAGCAACAAGAAAAAGTCCCCAGTGCCCAACCCTGAGAACATTGATCCAGGAGAGGTAAATACAAAAGATATTAAGGACAGCAAACATGCAATATCAGACACAGCATCAGTGTATATAAAGAGATATCTTTGGGACTTCATAGACTAATTCAAAAGTGAAATATTCAAAAGTAAAGCAAGATGTAAATAGATTAATAAAAGAAATGCTAAGTACCTCTCAAGAATACACAGATGGCTGGGCATGGTAGTGCACGCCTGTAATCCCAGCACTAGGGAGGTTGAGGCAAGAGGATCATTGCGAGTTCGAGATCAGCCTGGACTACAAAGTAAGCTCAAGGCTAACCTGAACTGCACAGTGAGACCCTGTCTCAAAAAGCCAAAAAAAAAAAAAAAAAAAGAAGAAGAAGAAGAAGAAGAAAACACAGATAGAAGAGTGGAGAAGCACAAAAAAGGAGAGAAATGTTTGATGAAGAATATAAAGAAAATGGTCACAGGGTTATAAAGAAATATATAAAATATATTTTATATATATTTTAAAATATATAATATATATTTGAAATATATAAAGATACGGTCACAGAATATAAAGAAAATATATAGAGTACATGAAGCAGGTTCAAAGAATTACCAGGAAAGAAAAAACTTCATTGAAAGCTGGCAAAATTGTTTGAAAGAAACTAAGGGTAGATTATCCAAACTGGAAGACAGGTTTACAATGTGGGATCATGAAAAATTTCTTAAAAATGACAAAGAAACAGGCAGTAACAATACAAAGGATAGAAGATGACAAGAGGATCTATAACTTATAAAGAATATAAATGAAGAAGCAGGGTTACAAACAAAGGAACTACAAAGGCTATTGACAGAAATAATTAAGGAAAACTTCCCAAGCAAAGGAAAAGGAAATGATATTCAGATGTACAAGGCATACAGAACTCCAGTCACCTACAATCAAAACAGAGCTACACCCAGGCATATAATAATCAAGACCCCAGAAATTCAATATAAGAACAGAATATTGAAAGCCATTAGAGAAAAGAAACAGATTATTTATAAAGGAAAACCCACCAAAATCACAGCAGACTTCTCAACACACACCATCAAATCAAGAAGAGCTTGGAGCGAAGTGACCTGAAAAAATAACCTCCAGCCCAGATTGATATACCTTGCTAAACTACCTTTAGAAATTAATGAAGAAACAAGATGCTTCCAAGACAAAGAGGAACTGGAGGAAATTGCGACCAGCAATCCAGCTCTACAGAGAATTCTGAAGGACATTCTAGAGAGAGAGAAAAGTACCAGGATTCCAGGAACAGTGGCCTAGAAGCCTCACTGAATGGAGCAGAAAGGGGAATAAGAATAAAAGCAGACAACTAATGGCAGAAAAAGAGCACAACAGAAATGAGGCAGAGAAGGTTGGCTATAATGTCTAATATAGATGGCCTTGATACACGAGAGAGAGAGAGAGAGAGAGAGAGAGAGAGAGAGAGAGAGAGAGAAACACAGGCGGAGTATATCAGGAGGTAGGGCCCACCAAGATGCTCTTTATAGGAAATATAAGTATCCTGAAAAAGGGTTTATGGACCCAAAATCAAATATGAGAAAACAATGTTCTATGTGACAGGGAACCAGAGAGTAATAAGGGCAACTATTACCAGTATTTGTGGATAGGTTGGAAGACAGGCTTTAATAGGTAAAGGAATACAACTAGAGATCAAGTCCAGGAGGGAGAAGGTTCAGAACCACTTAGGTAAATAGCAGGTTGCCCAATCTAAAAACTGAGGGTGTTGGTGAGACCCAAAAATGCACAGTGCACCCCAAGGGAGTGAAAGGGAAGGAATAGTCTTTAAAAAGACAGCAAAAGATATTGTTAATAGTGTATTAAAACCCACATTACTCACACCACACTGCTTAGATAGATTTTATTCTGTCCCAGTTTGTCCACTTGCACTAGATCTGAGGGCACAGGCAGCTATCCCAAAAAATAACATGATATAGTACAGTAGTCATCTTTAATTTCCTATTAACTTAATCTGGAGCCCTGTATAACTTACACTGTTTTATCATGACTGATTTTAGTTAAATCTGGTTTGTTTGATTTCTGTTTGGTATCGACAGATTTTATTTAAAACTGATATGATTGATAGTATCAAGTCTGAGAGTATAGGCAACTACACTGAAGATGACAAGGTTCACTACGATAGCCATTCTGGTTTGATTACTACCTGTTTTTGAAGTTTCACACCATCTACAAAGTTGTGTTTTCATTAACATAGTTATGTACTGCTATATTCAATTATACTATGTCTGTCTGATGATGTAGACAATTCTATTGAAGATATCAAGAGACAACACAGTAACCATGGTAGAACTCCTTGTACAATGGTTTTATGTCTTTTTCATTTTATGTGTTTATAGGAATATATTTTGTTTTGTTTCTCCCTCTAATATAGAAAGGATAGGAACACATGTTAAGACTCATGCATGCATAGAACCTATAAACAGTTTACGAGAACTGATCTCATAACACATGATGAAATGAACAAATAATTTGAAGAAAAAGAGACACTACAGTACCCGGTGCTGATCCCATAGTATCATGATGTGAAATCCAGCAATACTATTATTTTTTGTTCAGAATGATTTTAGCCTGCTTTGGTTTGTTTAATTGTAACATAAATGAAGATATGGATAACTGCAAGTATTTGTAAGTGTATAGGATTGATAACCATATTACTAAGTTTTTGTTGAATAGTGGAACAGAACTGTTTGCAGTCTCGCTGTTTGAATCCCCACTTTGTATGTTTCACTTTTGTATCTTGAACAACTATTTGTAAGAGAACAATATGTAATCATCAACTAGCAATTTCTTACTGTTTATTTTTTTCTTTGAAAGTATGTATTATTTCTACCCATTTTCTGTTTTGTTTAGCCTTTCTTTAAATTAAATTTTAAAAAATTCACTGGATAATCATTCAACCCATATCCATATGCTGTGCTAAAACTCAGGCCCCCTGTGATCACTAAACACCATTACACTCTACTGCAAAGACTTTGAACCAAGCACTGGCCCGCATTCCCAGAGATTACTAGGAGGTGAGGTTGGAGGCTGCCTTCCTGCTCCACTCCTTCTTATTCACACCCCAGCCTCCTCTGCAAGGACAGGGCATGTACGCACAGCATCCCTGGAACAGTTCGAGTGGATAGAAGTTGTGCTCCACTGTCCCCCAACTTAACCTTTGCACACTCATCAGTACGGGGGTCCACACTGCAAAACCATCTCAACTTAGAGAAACAAGCACTCAAGTTCACGAAAAGCAAACTGCACCTGTTTTCTGTTTTTCTGCAGAAAAGGTAGAGGAACAAAGGGGAAGAAATGTGGTAGTGGTCATAGATATAACATTATGAGGTCTGAATTTGGAAAATATGATGTTTGTTCGCCACAATGAGATTCACAGGCAGAACTGCCCCACTTACAATCCTCCTCCAACTTGGTCAACAGGGCTGATGATGCCCGTGGTGAGCCAGTTACTTATGTTATGGCCTAAAGTCAAAGAATACA